TGACCAAAATATGTTGTCAATTTTTACACGCTTTATTCATGCAAGCGACACCAAATTCTACATGTTAAAATGTCCAATTGTGTCGGTGATGGATGTGTGTTTATTGCAGCTCAGCCAGACAGCTTCCGATTCCACGATTTGTACGAACTACAAGCCCGCATTTCAGGCACTTGGCGCTACATCTCCTTCGTCAAGTTAACTGTCCAATTGGCCGAGGTGCTGTGCTTCCAGCTCACTGGCGGGTAGGTTGAACAGTGTTTTCTGTCGTTTCTATTCCTCTTTTATTTAATCTTTGAAACACTCGCAGATTTGTATGGCTTCCATTCCATGCCACGGTGGTCTCTGAACCGCCCAAACTTACGCAGCAGTCGCACAAAGAGGTGACGCTAACCGACAAGTTGTCGTAAGAGCATAACTGCCAGCCAGAAAAGAGCAATCCGGCACAACCGTTCTGGATCAGGTCTGGTGTAGTGCCTGACCTCGAGTCCCTCCCGGGACGCCGATGGGCGATAGAAACGAGACGGAGACCGCGACGGTATGTGGCTTTTAACGGACGTCCATTTCAAACGGTAACGCCAAACGCCTCTTCGCTGCGTCGAGGTTGGCTCGTTTTCGAGGCGGTCAATTAAAGCGAACCAGAACTTGCATTCGCGAAAGTCTTCCACGACCCCCCAAAAAATCGGGATGATGATAATAGCCAATGGGCACTTTTGCTAATCCCAACCAACTAGTTAGACTAGGATAATTTCCTTATAATTTTGATTAAATACGTTTTTGAGACTATCCTAATTCTTAAATAAGAGCTTAATCGCCCTGGACTAGATTTCCTTTTGGAGACAAGGACTTATGAAATTCAGTGACCTCGTGAAGTCTACTCGTTTCATTGTGAAAAAAAGCAACTATACGTCCTTTGCTCACCATAGCTGGCCTAGATTGACTAAGCTTATATCCAAGACCTAAAGATAGTCTCCAAAATTACTTATTTCGAATATAAGTAGTGTCCTCGATTTAAAGGGTAATCACATGCTTGCTTGATTGACAAACACATATAAAAGGGTAACTTGAGCGCTAAAGGTGACGTCACAATACAATGAGCAGGCTTCACTTTTATACTTTGCCGATATGGACTGTGTTTAACCTTGACGGGACTCGAACCAGAGGCGTGAGCAGCACTTCGCTAATCTGGATCACAAAATAAATGTGTTTCAAGACAAGACACATCCTGATATGGCAAGAAGTAGGTTTCTAAGATATGAGTAAGTTTTGAATAGGATTTTAAAGTGCCTTATAAAGAGGTTAAAAATTCAACTTTATTATTACACGATTCCTGTTGTATAATATTTATAATTGTATTGAAATCAGCCTTCAACCAATTTTTTTAAA